TTATGGATGAATCTCATCTCTCTTTCTCTCTCGTCTTGTTTTTTTCCAGATTAAAGATGAAGCGTTTGATGACGCGGAGAAGAAGTTCAGGCTGCAGGAGAGACTCATCAAGAGTTTTATCAGGGACATTTCCTTGTACCTGCAACACATCAGGGTAGGAGCATTTTTAACACGATCACCTCGGAACATTCTACTTCTCAGTGTGTTTGCACTTTTTCAAACGGAAAGTAAAATCAGATAAAACTCCCCGTGCCTTGTAACTGCATCTAAAATGCACTTCTTAAAAGATGTTAAAGGAAAATGTATAATTTCATGTTTTTTATTGCCAATACACTTTGTCCAAGTACATGGTAGTATTTCTTAAACGTCAGAAAGGAGACATTCAGTAACCATGATCTATTCAGGTATTAAAAAAAGTAATTCAATATGGACGGTGGGCAACTTTTTTTTGCTGTATATTATCAAAATGTGAAGAAAAGCATAGTTTCTGAAAACAGTTAGAGCACTGTGTAAAATGTAAAAAAAAAAAAAAAAACAGAATGTGATGTTGCTATAGCCTCAAACGCACCATCACCATGAAAAATAAAGACAATATATCTAAAAGTATTGATAGTTAAAAACCTAACTTAGTATTTATTTGGAGGATTTCTTTCATATCTAATAAGTATGCATCTCTTCAGGAATCAGCCTCAGTGAAGGTGTTGGCAGCCATCAGTTTCTGTGACATCTACACCGAGCGTAGCATCCTCGACCCCGAGCGTTTCCAGAGAGCTCACCGCTGCATCAGTGACAAACAGTTCACACAGTTTGTAAGTCCTTTTCCTTCGTCACCCCTCAGTAAGTTGCTGAAATTGACATGTGTGAATAACCTCTAAACCCCATCACGTTATCTGTCCCATCTCCCCTGAGCAGAAGGAGCGCACGGAGGCCTTGGTCATCAACCCGCTCACCCAGCTGCTCCTCATGTTCGCCGGGCCGCACAAACTCATCCAGAAGCGTTTCGACAAGCTGCTCGACTACGACAACTGCAAGGAGCGCGCCGACCGCCTCAAGGACCGCCGCGTCCAAGAAGAGCTGCAGGTGGCACGCAACAACTACGAAGCGCTCAACGCGCAACTCCTGGATGAGCTCCCGAAGTTTCACGTTGGGGCAGAGGAGCTGTTCACCGGCTGCGTGCGGGATTTCGCTCAAGCTCAGAAGGACTTCATGAAGACGACGCTGGGAGAGCTGAAGCCCCTCCTACAGGTGGAGTGTTTGTCTTTTTTCACGAGCGACCTTATATCATATTTATTGAAATTGATTTAAAAATAAGAACATAGCCGATATTTAATTCAGACCTTTTTTTTTTAATTATGTCTCTGCAGTTTCCAAGCAAAGTGGGAACAGAGGGAAACCTGGTTTCACAGTTCCAAGATGAGTACGGACGAGTTCTCAAACTTCTGCAAGGTTTCAGCTTCTGCCCGGAGAACCTGCCTCCGACCGCCTCCACTAAAAAGCCCTTTGAAAAGAAAACTCTGGAGAAGCAGACCTCTAAAAAGCAACTGCAAGGACCTGTGAGTTGAACACCCATCCCATTTGTCCAAAAATAGATTTTAATAAACAATGCATAAGGAATTATAGGCCTGTATACTAGTTATGATTTTTTCTAATTTTAAACTAATCTTTTTGTTCTTTCAGCCAAACTGCACCCTGCAGACGGACGAGCACAAAGCAGCACTTCTGGTACGCTACGGGCCTGAGAAGCTCTGCCAGGCAGAGAGAAACTTTAACGCAGCGCAGGATCTGGATGTCTCCATCCAAGAGGGAGATCTCGTGGGTGTGATTAAGCAGCAAGACCCCATGGGTAGCAACAACCGCTGGCTAATCGACAATGGAGGTAATTGGATCTATGCTCTGTTTATAAAATGTTTCCACATTCAGCAACACATTCTTCATGCCTAAACAACACAACAACATAATCTTTCTTTCTCACAACAGTCTCTAAGGGTTTCGTGTACAGCTCCTTCCTCAAACCTTACAACCCACGCAGGAGCCAATCAGACGTTTCCATCGAGAGCCAGTCGTCCAATGAGTCCGGCTATGGAGGCTCCTCCCCCGTCTTCTCCCGCCAAAACAGCAACAGCACACTAACCTTTAACCAGGACACGGCCACAGTCAGCTTTTCCACGTCACAGCCCCAAAGTCAGTCATCGCCACACCCTTCATTAGACTCTTCGTCGTCTCGTAGGAGTCACCTCAAAGACCCACCCAACCCAGACTCCATCAGTCAGAGCAACTCCATCAACTCCTCACCCCGAAATCCCTCCAACCGGAAGGAGTTCTCGGACCAAACTCATAGGAATTCCTCCAGTCACAGAGACACAGAGCCTTCTTACCGGCATTCGGGCAACCACAGAGATGCGTACGATGCGAATTATACGAGTACGAGCAGCCACAAGGAGACAGCAGACCTCTCTGAGAGCGAGTCTTACTCTTCACATAGACACAGTCGCTCTCAGCGGTATGGACACTCAGACAAAGCCAACAGTTCCTACCATCGGAGAAACGGAGATACAAGTGGCCAGAAGAGGTCAGCTTACTCCAGAGATGATTACATCGAGCCGGAGCCAGAAGCCAGAACCAGAACCAGAACCAGAACCAGAGGAGAGTGAAGTAGATGGTCATCAGGTGAGATTTAATTTTACTCTTGCATTCAATTTGTCATTGAAATCTGACATCTACTGTACCATGACCTTTACCCTATCAAAAAAAAAAACAAGCTGCATTTGAAATATGAGGAAAGCACAAACTGATTATGAAATAGTCTCTTATGAATGATTGAATGTGTTTCTAGATTTACTACGCTCTCTACTCCTTCGATGCACGCTGTGCCAATGAACTGAGCATCTCAGCCAACCAGCGGCTGCGGATCCTGGAGTTCCAGGACATGAACGGCAACGGTGACTGGTGGCTCGGGGAGGCAGGCGGCCGGCGAGGCTATGTGCCATCAAACTACATCCGCAAGTCTGAATATACATGAAGATGTCCTTTTACGTGGACCTGAGACTGTGCTTTTAACTTAAGGAGACTCACTCTGCGAGCAGTAAGAACAAAACCACAAACAAGCATCAGGACACGCTGTGACTTATTTTTGACCTGTCGTCATTGATTTTGAAACTGACTAGGACTGACTATTGCTGCTGGCACTTTTCCTACGAGTTAGCATTACATGCCTTTTTATTTATAGACTTTTTATATTGTTTTTTTTACTTTCTGGATACTGAAGCCTATTCCCTCTTGTTTCCAGAGAAAATCCTGTGAATTGCACCAGATTGTTGCCACATATTCTGGGGCTGAAGACAATGAATTGTATGTTTAAGAGAACAGTCATTGGGAGATTGCAATGTGAATGTTTTGGGATCAGGCTGGCTCTTTCTAAACAAAAAATCCTGTTGTATGCAGATAGACTGACCTAAACACTGTGTTTGTATCTGCATGTGGTTCATTCCACCACCAGAGTGATGCATGAAGATTAAAGCAGTGTACTCTTTTACAATCAAGGTTTGAGGCACTTAGGATGATTACCCACTGGTTTCGAGTTTTGAAGTGTCTGTGGAGCCATCAACCCGAATTTGGAGTGTTTTATGATTCTAAAATGGGCTCTTTGAATTTAAACCAAGTGCAAAGTTGAATGGCATATGATATATAGTTTACAAGCACTCCCTTTTGTAACCAGGTCGACACAGTGCAAACAGGTGATGGCCCATTCAACCTGTGAGGAGGAGGTTAATGAACTGGGAGAGAGATAGCTTGTGGTCTGGACTTAACTCTGATTTTTCCACATATTCCCTGTGTACATTATATATAGTGTTAATATTGAGAATATGCTATTGCTCCCACTGTAAAGTGATCACTGTTTGAATAAAAAAAAACAGCTCAGCTGAAAAAATGAAAATCACTCCAATGTTTTGGTCTGTTGTTTCTTTTGTGTTTAAAGATAATGAATATACTGTCATGGTGTTCCTTTTCTTAGCATGTGTCTGGTTTTATATCACACAAAAACAAAAAAAAGATTAGATGTACCACAGAGGAAGTGGATATATTCACAAAGATGTTTGGTATTTTTACGGTATAATTTTGCTTTAGGGTGGAGCAAGAAAGGAGCAAAGTCTTGGCAAAGCAAAGCTCTCCAATGTATACTGGTAATGCTAACTCACCAAGCAAGAGGCTTCCAAAATGAACAAACGTATACCAAAAAATGACAGTGAAGTGACCTTTAGTGGAACCCAACACTGAAGAAATGTTTCCACAGCTGGCCAATCACAAGGTAGCCACGCCTCTAATTGGGAGCATAAGTTATCATGCTGTGTTTAAGAAGACTGAAAACAAGTGATTGAGATCATAAACTCATTTGGAGAATGTTCACTGAATAATAAGTCAACTGCAAAGTAGAATCCTTTTCTCACAGACTTCCCTGGTACAATTTGTTACCAGGGGAAGTTGCCCCCTGCTGGAAGAAGAAAGGATATTTTTTACCAACTTTGACGTTGGCCTAGCTCCATTTCTTACATACAGACTATGACCAGCAGATGAATACATTAATACTAGGAAAACTTTACAAAACAATCTAGCTCCATACTCTTTAAAAATGTTTACTACACCATTCAGTTGCAGATATTGCCTAAAAAAGGCTCCAACTGGGAAGCATTACAAAATTGAACGCCTTGGGATCCCCCAGGAGAATATGGAAAATGTTGGTGTGGAGAGGGACGTTTGAGGCAACTTGTGAAGCCTCCTGCCACCAAGAGTGTATCGCTAACTGCATCTACTTGTGACGACTTCAGCACAAGTAAAGGCCAGAGGGTCAAAAAGTATTGAATCCTATGTAAGTCCTGTCAAATCAATGCAGGGTACCAATGATTAACAGGTAGGTGGAGTGTCTGGGGGTCTCTATCTTAAAGAGGGGTTGTATAGGACTAGGAGCAGAAGCAAACCATAGAGTTACCCTGTGTGGTCCCAACATGGCTGGGGTGAAAAAACTCCTCTGCTCACTCGTTGTTCTCTTCCAACTGTGTGCACTCGCTGCGTTTGGACAGGAGTATTTTGTAAGTATGCAAATGAAATAGGATGAATTTGCGTGTAATAAGGGATTGAAGCATTTCTAACATTTAGAACACAGAACTGTTGAGTACATGTATGTTTATTTTGGTTTGATTGCAGGTGATCGATGAAACAGATGACACTGATGGTAAAACATTTTTGTCAACCTGATTTCTGGTTTACAAAATGTATCTTTTTGATTATACTGCATAAATGCTTCTTTTTCCCTTGCAGAATATGAGTATTATGATTTACCCACTGAAATCCCTCGAGGGGATTCAGATTTTTCTGGTTTAGATGACTGGTTGTATGAACTCCTAGATTTAACAGGTAAATGACCTTTACTATCCCTTCCCCCCCTCTCAAATAGCAAAGGTGAGCGTTTGATTGCTTGTACTGTAAGCGCTGAATGTAAGCAGCAGTTAAACTAAGACATCTCTTCTGTCTTTACATGTACTGATCAATGCACAGCTGAAGCAGTCAATCAATTGAACTCTGCTCCTTACTGATTTTGACTCTGTGCTGAATCTGAATGTCAGGTTTTTTTTTTTTTGTACCAGCTGATTCTGTCTTCTTTCAGATCAATGTGATCCAAACCCGTGTTTGAACGGAGGCAGCTGTGACACTTATCTCGACGGAACTTTCATATGTGTGTGCCCAGAGCCTTACACTGGAAAGAAGTGTCAGACTGGTAAGAGAGTCATGTGCTCATTTATCTACAGTACGGGGGGAAAAGACTCTAGGTTAAACGGTTCAATATGAAGGCATGTCCAAATTGAGGTTCCTTTCCTTTCAAAAGTTGGTTTAAGCTTAGAAACCCATATTAAGCAAAGCAAATCTGATCAAGCACTAGTGTCTGCTTGAAAATTCCTTTAATTTGCTTTATCAACGTCTGTGTTTGTATTTCCTCCCTTTATCATTCATACTCACTCATTAATCTGTTTCTCTGTAAACAGAGAGCAATTTGAGGCTATGTGCGTGGTCAAACGCTGATGACCACACCAGAACTCACCTTCACAATGTAGATGGGGCTGATGTAAGACATATGAGGGGTACTATGAACCCTACCAAACATGCCTACCAGATGCAGGAAAGTCCAGCTATGAACTTGTCTCCTGCAAATGTAAGAGCAGTTGTGTTTTGCAGTGCAAGTGCAAAAAAGCTGCCTTAGACCCTCTGATACTGTAAATCAACACTTTCAAGCTAGGGGTGAATTATTGTCATCACTTATTTTGTCTTTGAATTGTAGCTTCTGAGCAATTCTGAAGTTCCTAATTTGTATTCAGATTTTCCAAATAGCAATCCCAATAACTGCATCTGTAAAAGGTCAATTCAACCTATTATGTCCGCAATATGATAAATTAGGATGGCTAATGAGTAGGTTCATCTGAAAACAGTTTTGGCTGCCATCTGCCATTCAACTTAATTCTGTATGTAGGCCTAATACGTTTTATATACTTTTTTTTTTTAGTGAAAGAGGTTTGCAAGAATGTGAACTGTGGCCATGGGAGCTGTGTTGTTACATCTACGGCTCCATTCTACGAGTGCAAGTGCAAGCCTCCGTACAAACCACCAAACTGCAGGAAAGGTCTGTTTATAGGGAATATGCAATCATTTATAATTTTTCTCAAACCTTATTTATTTTCCGCATTTGACACTGATTGTCTTGTCTGCGTTTACAGCTTCTCCCTGTAGACCTAATCCCTGTCAGAACGGCGGCTCTTGCACTAAAGGTCCCAAACGCTCGTCCTTCCAGTGTTCCTGTCCTTATGGATACAGCGGAAACTTCTGTGAAGTTGGTAAATGCAATTCTCTCACTGCCATAAAAATAGAAACAAACATATTTTGTCCTCTTAGAAGCTTAAATGACCTGTCTTAAGTTCAAACCATTTTTTTTTTCCAAGGGCCAAATGACTGTTACCAGGAGGATGGAGAGTTTTACCGCGGCATGGTGAGCGTGACGCTGGAAAGAGAAGAGTGTTTGGACTGGAATTCTTATTTCATCCAGCAGCATGGTGGAGATCCTTTCAAAGAGTACGCAGGCTTCGATGGAATCGGTCCACACAATTTCTGCAGGTGAGGAGTCATCTTGTGTAAATATTGCATGCGTTTACTGTTGACATTGTGTACATATTTGTTACAGTGCATATGCGGTATGTACTGTGTACTATGTACTCAGACTAAACTCTGTTTGCTGATTTTTTTCTCACCTCAACAGCTTCTGTCAATGTTGTTGTTAAAAAGTTTTCTCCAAGTTAAATCCATGCGGCAGAAAGTGCAGTTCTTCAAGTGTCCACTTGGGGCTGCTCCCAGAAGCAAGTTATAGAGTATACACATATTTAAATGCCCATTTTTAAAGCAGAAATAAACATAATTAAAGCCTGCTAGGAAGAATAATGTTGGTCTCTTGAGCTCATGTCTTTATTATTACACACTGTACAGGGTTTAATTTTTTAATAACTCATGTTGGGGATCAGAGTTTTAAATCGCTCTGTGTCATGGGGTGCATTTCTTAGATATAAAAAGGAAGGGGCAGAGAAGGTTGGGAACCACTGCTCTACCTTATAACTTAACAAACAGAGAATGCAGTTATAGGGTTTATTCTTTAAAAAAAAAAAAATCTTTGTGTATTACAGGAACCCTGATGGAGACGATCAGCCCTGGTGCTTTATTAAAAAGAACGACAAACTGAGGTGGAACTACTGTAAAGTTAGGAAATGTTCTGCAGGTAAAACACTTACAGAGAGGAAGATTACGATTCTGGCCTTCGCAATTTTTATTCTTCAATTGGATTTTTTTTCTCTCCCTCCTACAGCTCCACCCACCGCACCGACCATCCATGAAATCGATCCAACTCCAGCCAAGCCAGAGGTCCCTGCTGCCCAGTTCTCCCAGTGTGGGAGGCCGCAGCCAGGCCGCTCCGCCAGGATCTTTGGAGGAAAGAAGTCTCTTCCTGGAGCTCATCCCTGGCAGGCGTCCCTGCAGACCAGACCCAGAGGCTCCTCTGGGCCCTTCAGACACATCTGTGGAGGCATCCTGTTAGAGTCCTGCTGGGTGCTTACTGCGGCTCACTGCATGTAAGCTCCAAAATCTGTAGCTTCTCCACTGTTTGATGTAATTCATAACCATCATTTGGGGGCGCCAGTGGCGTAGTGGTTAGTAAGCTCGCCCAGTGTACGGAGGCTGTGGCCCTGCAGGCGTGCGGCCTGGGTTCAAATCCAACCTGTGGCTCCTTTGCCGCATGTTGTTCCCCACTCTCTCTCTCTACAGGATTTCTGACACTATCCACTGACCTATCTCTCTAATAAAGGCACAAAACCACCCCCACCCCCCAAAAAAAACCTCCTAACAACCTTTTATTGATCATATATATCATGTTTTTTCAAGAATTATTCTATTTGTCTACCTTTTAATATTCTGTTTTTCCTTGTTCTACCTTGTTTAACGATTTATTTATCTGCTCTATTGTACCATCTGTACCATAAGAGAGTTATCCCTCTCTGTGTTTTAAGAGGTTTAAAATTAATTAATAGTGATGATGATGATGATGATGATGATGATGATGATAATGGTCTTGATGATTTCATGCATTGCAGTAAAAGTGGAGTGGAAATGCAGGTGGTGCTGGGAGGAGTGGACATCGAGAAGGATGAAACGTTCGATCAGGTCATCCCGGTGGAGAAAGCCATCATGCATGAAAATTACAAGGAGTCCCCATTTGCTCTTCATAACGATGTTGGTAAGTTGAAAGATTTAAAATCTCATCTGTGATGAGATGATACACCCTCACCTTTATTCTTTGTTTTGTGCATCTCCTGTGCAGCCATGCTTCAGCTGAAAGTCACAGACAGGCCGTACTGTGCCAAAGAGACACGCTTTGTCAAAACAGCCTGCCTCCCACACAAGAACTTTGACAGCGGGACGGAGTGTGTCATCTCAGGGTGGGGCGTGACTGAAACACGTAAGGAACATTTGTTTATTGTATTCATAGGCTGTAGAACAAACTGTTGTAACAAATTGATTGGTATCAAAAATGGGGGAGCAAAATAGTATTTTTTCTATTAATTAAAGATAATTTAACTGAGCTGAATGAGTAATGTAAGAGCATGAAACTTAAAGAACAGCCCATTTACGGGATAAGAAAATAAAAAAGTTAAATGTTTTAAACTTTGGCAGCTCATGGATATTCATCCAATTCACCTCTAGCTCGAATTTACATCGGAAAACAGGGTAAAGTATTTTCTTCTTTAAAACAGCGTTTTATATTTACAAACTGTAGCAAACACTTAGCAAAAATATAGGTATGGAAGCCCAGTGAGGCAATTATAAAAAGCACTGTGGAGACATTTTCTAAATCTGCTTGAAATTGCGGTCACTTCTTAGGACTGAAGAACGAAAGACAAATGCTATTAGGTCAGCCTCTAGTGGCCAATATGAGTACTACAACAAGAAACACAAAATGATTTAGAGAGATATGTTTTTGGAACCTTTTTTAAAATGGAAAAAAAGTCTTATTTATCCAAGATAATTTTCCACCTGATTCATATTTTTTTTTTAAAGTAGCTTAGAAATGTGCTGGCAAAATAATCAAGCTATTCTTGGGGACAAGATGCATTAGAGTTGGAAAATGGATAACCAGAATTTATTTTCTTAAATCAGTCTCAGGGCTTCCTTAGATGGAAATGCGGATTAAAGTGTTAAAAACAGAAAAGAAAACACACTGGGACTACACTGAATTTGTCATTAAATTCATTTGAACATCTCAGTCCAACTTCACTGTTTGTATTATGCTGCTATCTTGCTGTCTCAGAGAAGTACGGTACCAACCAGCTGCTGGATGCACGTGTCCTCCTGATCTCCCAGGACAAATGTAAAGCCCCACACGTTTACGGGAACTCTCTGGATGACAGCATGTTCTGTGCAGGAAACATGAAAGGAGGCGTCGACTCCTGCCAGGTCCGTCATTTTTCTTTCACCCCAGTATTCATGAAGATAAAAGAGAGATCCTTAATGTGACCTCTGTCTGCCTCTGCAGGGTGACTCTGGCGGCCCCCTTGTGTGTGAGCGGAATGGGACACACTATGTGGTGGTGTGGTGAGCTGGGGCGACGGCTGCGGCAAGAAGTACAAACCTGGTGTCTACGCCAACGTGATCAGATTTGTTGACTGGATCGCTTATCATTTACTCTGATAAAGATGCAGCTGGACGTCTTGTGCTTTCCATGACAATAACAACACATGCAGACTATGTAAAGTCCTCTTGTCTTAGTAATAGAATGACTTTTTATTAAGATTAGCTTGGATGAAAAGAAAGTTCTCGCTCCATTCTCAGAATGATACAATACCTCATATTTGTGTTTAAACACATGGATACATGTGGTACATGGTTAATAAAGATGATTGAAAGGGGTTGCTGGTGGCGCAGTGGTCGGTGCACGCGCCCCCATGTGTGTAGGCTGTGGTCCATTTCCCACATGTCATTCCCCGCTCTCTCTCTCTCTCCCTGATTTCCGACTCTATCCACTGTCCTGTCTCTCCATTAAAGATTATTGGAAAAACTGACAAAAATGTTTCGTTATGATTCCTTTAAACAAGAAGCTCCCAAGCTTCACATGGACAAGTCTCATTTCTTTTTTTGGTTCACACTGTTGGGCTGAAGATTTTTATTACTCATCAGTTTTGATGAGATTTTTTTTAAAGCAAAGATTTCTACATTCGCCTCATTTAGGGCAAGCTGAGTTGATTGACAGGTCGACATACTGTAGTTGTTAGGCTTAAGGCCTCAGCTCTACCTTTTGGTGCGATTTCTCCCATAAATTGAAAGTTAGGTGGCGATAACGTTAACAACATTGCGACTAACGTTGCAGGGCTTCTGTCACCTCTTCAAAAACACTTTCCAAAACTGATTGTAGCTGCTGTTATGAAATTGTCCTTACTCTGCTTTAATGCTTAACAGGCGTGTCTAATTAAAATGCAATGTGAAGCACTTCAAGTATTTCATGCCAAACAGGCATTTGTGTAATGGAATCGCAACATAGAATTTTGTAGACACATTAATGAGTCCACGACAAAGTAAACAGCTACGTCAAATAAAACTCAAAAAACAAATGAATGTGACACATCGCTTGATAATATTTGTTTTTCTGTAATCTATCAAAATATGTTGCCTCATCATGAGTATAAAGGTGAGTTTGTTTGTCCATTTCTATCTGTAGATAAGCAAAGAATTGTTTTTACAAATCTGAACTTAATGACGATTATCAATGGAAGTCCATGTACATTTTGATTTTCCAAATTGTATGTTGTGTCTGACTTTGAGCTGTGTTTGTACTATTGGTTGGTTTTGTTATTCTTTTTCTGATATCTAAACAACAAAGCAGAAAAATACAGCAGATATAATCACAAATCACTATGCATGATGTATGTGTATTGAAGACAAGGGTTAAATAAATGAAAGCACACAAGTTAGGAATTTCCTAACAAACTCCCACATAATCGATGCGGCTGGCTAAAGATTGACAGCTGAGGGATACGGCGGCCGTTCTGGATATTTAACTCAATCACAGGATCTCCAGTCTTCTACACTGTGATCGCAGTTACACACAGCACCATGTTGCCTGCAGGGGCCTTTCTCATCAGCCTGTGTTTGCTCGGTGTCCACCACATTGAAGCTGTAAGTTTGTCAATACCTTTGTTTGTATATAAGCAAAGATGATGTTTGTTAAGGTGGGAAAAAATGAAGAAGAAGAAAATAACCTTGTTGATCTTTTCTCATCTGTGATTTGTGTTGTCATTGCAGGAGAATGCGTGGTGTAAGTCTCATTTCCATGATTGATCTTTGTGGTGAAATGCTCCATCAGCAGACCAATTTAATGATATAAGTCACTATCTGAATTAAAGAATTGCTTTAACAGCTGATCAGTCAAACATTCATTCTCACCACATTTGTGCTTTAAAGGTTGTGAAGTTGCTGCTCGCTCTGTTTCAAATTCTTAATTAACACAATAGTTCAATCATTAAGATTAAAGTCTGCATTCTCTGCTTTTTTATCAAGAAACTCCAGTGTTTAAATAGTTTGGTGCTCTTCCACAGTCACAGATTATGGATCCGAGCCCACCGACGCTCCCAATTTTATATTTGATCTGGCAGACTGGGTGTTTGATTTTGTAGACGAGTCCAGTGAGTGTCCCTGAGAAAACTCTGCATGATTGCACATTTTCTGCAAATCTTACCTTCAACCGTGTTATCTGATCCTCGGTCCGTCATTTGCAGATGTTTGTGATCCAAGCCCTTGCTTTAATGGTGGGACTTGTCGAGTGAAATCTGACACAGAATTCACTTGCATATGTCCTGAGCCCTACGTAGGCAAGAGGTGTATTAAAGGTAAGATTTCCAAATTCATAATACATTGATTTTGTAAAACAATAGAGCTGCAGTTGGTTTATTATTATGTCTCATCTCTATACCAGGTTCAGGTTACTTGATTTGTACCGGTATAGATACATTTTGTTACAGGGAGAGTCACATATACTCAATAAAACACAGAAAATACATGAAACGTACACAGTGCAAACGCATAGTACATAGGTAAACGTGCATAAGGTGCATAAATATCTTAAAATATATACACAATGTTTTAGTTAGGTATTTTTAAACTTCCTGTGGTGACCTACTGTTAGCCTGCTTTTTAAAAAAAAAACATATTCTTAATATTTAGTGAAAGATGTTTGTGAGAACGTCAGATGTGGCCGTGGTGACTGTGTTGTCAACTTGAAGAGACCACCTTTTTATGAGTGCAAGTGCACACCTCCATACTATGGCCCCAACTGCAGGTCATGTGAGTATCCCCACCCCCAACTTTTACAAGATTTCAAATTATTTGTTGAAGAAACTGAAGCGGATATTTCATTTAGTGTGTTGTTTTGATAGATAATGAAGTCATTTTATCCTTAGAATAGTTGCACTTTCATTACATTATAAACAATTGAAACAGAAAGGTTTGGTGGTAAAATGATTTTTGTGCGCTTGAATCCTTTGCTACAGCCCTGAAATGATGTACTGTCGTCTTAAATGGCTTCTTTCTTGTCTGAATCAGTTCCAACATCACCTTGTGTACGCAATCCCTGTAAGAATGGAGGCTCCTGCGTGGCAAGGGACAAGCGCTTAAGCTGTGCTTGTCCTAATGAGTTTACTGGGAGGTTCTGCCAAACTGGTAAGGAGTCAGCCATCACAATCGCTGTAGGAAATCCATTCCTGCAGCTTGAGTTGGAGTTCTACTATTTACACACACACAACTCCAAAGTTCAATCAAAAAAACACAAAAAACCCTCAGCAAATATTGATCTTTTAGCAAACCCTTAAAACCACAATAACCTCAGCAGTCAGTATATTGAGTAACACTTTGAGTAATATTGTTTTTGTTCAACTGCAGGTAAAAATGTTGTGCTTTAAAGTTTTAAATATTTGTCACTTACATTTTTGAGCTCACTTGAACTCTTCTCTTCTAGCCCTCAGAGATTGTTATATAGGGAACGGGGAGTCATACAGGGGTGCTGTCAGCGTGACAGAGGGCGGCATGGAGTGTTTGGACTGGAACTCATACTTCATTCTGTCACAAGGAGAGGATCCTTTCACCATGTACTCTGACTTCCCCGGACTAGGATATAACAATGACTGCAGGTCGAGTCAAGTTATAATTGTACCATCTATAAATTACTTTAGAAGACGTTTACAGATAATGTAACAATCCAGGTTTAAGTAAGAAGTGACATGGTTAGTAGTCAGTCTGTCTTTTCAGTGCTCTAAAGGTTGGTGAAGGAGAATCTAAGTACTAAGAGACACCTACGTCAGAACTATTTTAACTCTACACCTCATTTTTTCATTTTTTATTCCTTTCCATAGTGTGTGTTTCATATACACTACGATCAAATGGACCTAAATGGAATGTCTTTTATGAGAATTTCTGAAAATGTGCACCTGTGAACAAATAAGCATACCATCATTTGCGCTTACCGGTTAATTGAAATAATCTTCCGAATGTATCAATTTTTCCTGTTGACAAGCCTGATGTATTGTTATTGATTTACATTTTAGGAATCCAGATAATGACGACAAACCTTGGTGCTATTACAAAAAGCAGGGCAGATTGGAGTGGGATTTCTGCAAAATCAATAAGTGCTCTGAAGGTAATCTGAAATGCGCACACAAACACACACACACACACACACATTAATTCAATATCAATTCCTTGTATGCCCACGTTGTGCCCACTTTTTTTTCCTACAGCCCCTATTCTGATTCCAGTCCGACAAGTACCAGTGTCTACCCTGTTCTCCCAGTGTGGCAAAGTAGACTTGGGTACCCAGCCTGTTCGCACTGGCAGGATTTATGGGGGCACAAAGTCTTACCCTGGTGCTCACCCTTGGCAGGTTTCTCTGCAGGCCAAATTAAGAGGCTCCTCGTTTCAGTTCACCCATTTCTGTGGTGGGATCCTGCTCTCGTCCTGCTGGGTACTCACTGCTGCACACTGCATGTACGTGTATACCATGTATTTTTGTATTTTCATTGTATGCCAGTGTCCTAGCCATCTTTCTGCTTTATCTTTATTGTATTTTTGTCATTTTAGTAACAATGAAAATGAATACCAAGTGGTGTTGGGAGGAGTGCACCTAGAAAAACAAGAACAAATGGACCAGACCATCCCAGTGATACAAACCATTGTTCATGAGAACTACAGGGAGACTCCAGTTGCTCTTTACAACGACATTGGTTTGTTACAACAAATGCATTATCATGTTTTAACATAGGCAGACCATAAATAGGAAAGTACATAGTATACAGGCTGCAACATAAGATTTATGTTAGCTAATGTTTCATGTCTTTTAAGGCCTCTTTAGACATTTGCTTATACTGCAAATGTGCCTATTCATACAGATTGTTGATCTTATATGAGTCATACCCAAACCTTTGAGTTTTTCAAACCTAACTGCAACAACAATAACATAATTCTTTGTTTTTATCTACCACATCAAATACTTAATGTAACTCATTGTATGTTTTTTTTTTTTGTGTAGCTCTGCTTAAACTCAAAATCACAGAAGCCCCTTACTGTGCCAAAGAAACTCGCTTTGTGAGGGCAGCATGTCTGCCAGACCAGGCCTTCCCCGCCGGAAAGGAGTGTGTGATCTCAGGATGGGGAGCCACAGAAAACCGTAATGAACTATTCATTAAATGTCTTTATTGACATAAAAACATATCATTTTGGAATTTAGTATGTATGGCCACAAAGTTGGGGGAGAAGATGGTCTGACGGTTAGGCTGCAAAAAATACTGAATTTCTCACAATGCAATTTCACAACATCATTTATAAGACCTATCTTTGATCATTTCTTTTAACATCGAAACCTTTTTTGTAATGACAGTTTCTGATTAAGTCTCAAGGTGATCAGATACACTAGTTGCCATAAATCAATCTCTGGTGGCTTCATTTCTTCCAAACACAGCTAACAGCCCATACCAAACAATGTAGTTTTC